CATGACCCCCTCCTTCTGCACTACTGTTTCCAACCGGAGCCCCTTTCATTCAGGTAAAACTGTAAATTTCCCAATGTGCCATTGTTCTTCAAAACTGTCCAAAGCTCCCTAGAAATCCCCAAATACTTTTTTGGTATTTAAATCCCCGATAGATAGAACCAATGTAAATTTTGTGACATTCAAACCTTTTTGACTTCACAAATCAGTCACCCTTGTCACAGTTATTGAAATTCCGCAACTCGCCACACCAGGACGGTGGAAAAAACGGGCGCAGTCTTTGTTGCCGACCAGGCTTTTGATCGCCAGAGAAAATTTACTTACCTTCAGATGAGTGAGCAGAAAAAGAAATAACACTCCCTTTGATTTAGTTAGGAAAATGCAGACATTTGGATTCAGTGCAAACATACAACACTCGCTTGTTTTCGCGATGCGGCCCTCGATTAACCTGTCTTTGCCCAGCGCAAAGTCTATTCAACAACTGCCCGTAGTTGCTTTTTGTCCTGTCCACAAAGAGCCATTGACCATATATTAAAATGATTGTTGAAAGGTAGAAGAGTATGGCACTTAAAAGTAGAAAAAAAAAATCCCTGTGACTCAATCAATTAAGGCCAGTAACATTTATGCATTTCAAAAAATGCACATGGATTCGGGGGTGGGGGAGATAAAGGTTGCATTTCTCCGCAGCTCTGTTTAAAACTCAGCAGCCTGGGCTGAGGATTTAGCTCAAACGTCTGCATATTCATTAGGTCTAATTATTTTCTCGTAAGGAAAACACAAAAAGCCAAGAGTCGGAATCTTTCAATTTGCCCTTTGTTTCTAACTTCATTTGGCTTATTTGCAGCTGAATCAGCCCTAAACTCTTTTTCCAAACAAAGAAACCTCAACTCATCCTTTCACAGGCAGCCCAGCTAGGAAACTCTCCAGTGCTTGGGAGAGAGGAAAATGAAAATGAATTTGTTTTGCCCAGTCTCCCGCCTTAGTGGCTTAGGCTGAAGGAAGACAGGATCAGCACTTTCGCCTGTGGTTGGCAAACTGAGCTGCCCTTTTCCTGCACTCTCCTCTCTCAAAACCGGACTTGTGTAACTGGGATGGTTTCCCAGTATCTAAAAAGACCTGGTGGAGCATTTGTGCTTGGGCTGGGAAATAGAAATTTGAGAGAGAGAGAGAGAGAGAGAGAGAGAGAGAGAGAGAGAAAACAAATATACTGTCCCCAGCAACAAGTCTGAGTGCAGCAGCCCAGTACCAACTTTGACTGGACCTGGATGAGGAATGGAAAGAAAGGGCTCAGCTTAAGAAGTGGTTTAAAAAAAATAAAGTACACACTTTGAGTGGCTCTGATATATCTTTTTTGAACAAAAGGTTTTCTACTGTCTATAAGGGGAGTTTGGACCTGACTCCAACGCAGTTATAAAAACCTTACCTTCTCTCTAGAGGCTAAACTGCTATCCTAGGGAGAACAAATATTGAACCCATTTCTCCCGCCTTTCCAAAAAAAAAAAAAAAAAGGACAAGGAGGGAACATGAGGGGGGAGCGTAGCCATTAAAAAGGGGGAGAGCAAAAATAATTCTTCAAAAAAGAAAATTCTTCTTCTCTCCAGTCCGGGGACTTTGACAAGAATATTTTTAGGAAACGCGTCCAAATATACAGGGTAAGAGTGAATGTACGGGGAGGGGATAAAAAAAAGTTGTGGGTTGTAGAAGTTATCAATTGGGATTTGCTTCGCTCTCTGCAGGAAACGAAAGAGGCTCCAGTTCAAAGCCACATGCACCAACGTGACATATAAGCCATTAAAATATCCTGACGGCTCATTTCTGCTTCATCATACATTCCCTAACTGCTTCCCGAAAGCTGGAAAAAGAGAAATGAAGGATGACCGCCTCGCTGGAACCACGAAGAGAGGCTTGGAGGGGTTTGTGGTTCCCCCTCCGCACCCCAAAGTGATGTGCAGAAATGAGGCGACCCCAGCAACAGGTGGAGTGGGGTAAGTGCGTGAGTCCAGGGGGCAGGCAGAGGAGACCTGTACCCCCCAGCAGTTGGGTAGCAAGCTCCCTTATGGGAGCTATTGGCATCCAAACCCCTATGGGGGGAGAGGCCCATATAGACTCCCCCCCCAATGCCCTCCCTCTTTAGACCCCCAACCGTGGGTATTGGTCCTACCCCACTGACACTGAGGGGGAAGGGGGCCCTTCTACCAAGGGGCAGTGATCGTGGATGAGTCCAATCCTTCTCCCCAGGAAAGGGGGAGCGGTAAGGGGACCGGAAGGAGCGCCAACTGGGAAAGGGACCAAGAGCAGCTTGTTGTCCACCTGCCCTCCCTACCTCTCTCCTTGTAAATTGCCTGGGTGTCCAGGTGCGCACAGGATGGGCAGTCGTGGCCCTGAACTTCCCTCTCGCGGAGTGAGCTAGGAAGGGACTCCTGCAAGCAGCTTCTCTGCTTTGCTCCCAGGAGGATTGCCGGAGGGACTCCGCTGCTCCTTCCCGGGGTCAAGGAGCCCAGTTATCCTGGCTGGCAGCAAGATGATGGAATTTCTCCGCCCCAGCCTGACTGCGGCGGATGCGGATGCTGGCTGGGTCAGCCGCGGGGCTGGTTCACTGCTCTCACGCGCGTCCTGGTCCTGCCTCAGGACGCCGCTGAGATCCACTCTCTGCGCGGCGCCGCCTGCCATGGATTTGGGACTTGGCTTTCTTTCTCTCAGATGCATAGGAGGGCTAGGACTAGCTCTCTGGGGAACAGGCTGCAGCCACCTAGGATTCTGGGCACTACACTAAACACCTAGGGACACTGTAAATTAGGACAAGAGAAGTGGAACGGTGTGGGGCAGTGAAAGAAAGTAGGACTGCCTCAAAGCCTTGACCATGAGGACACCTGGGATCTAATGAGGTCTTAGGAAAGGAGAAACGGCATTGGAAGGCTGGCACCATCTGCAGGAAAACACCTTTGGATTTCAAGGTCATACCTCTCCCCCCTTGGGGAGAAAATTTCTGACAGCATTGGCGGCACAGCAACCCACAGAAAGGCACCACTTTTCTTTCCTCCATCTAGCCACGGGCAGATTTAGGGGTAAGGGGTGGTTCAAAGGCATAGTTAAATATCCTTCAAGGGACTTACTAATGCAAACTCTAAGGTGGACACAAGAATGTCACCAGCCTTCAGCCATGGGCTGGGGAAAGCCCAGCTCTTCCCTCTAGGGAACAGAAGAATGAAAAAAGGCACAACCCAGACTCGCATCCCAACTTCCTGGTATTCAAGGATCCAGTGGAGGGGAGCTAGGGAGGTGCCTGGTGCAGCTGACAACAGCAGGCTGTTGTGGAGAGGGGTTTTGGATTTGGAGCTCTGAGGCAGTCTATAGGGTCCCTGCTCTGCACCCACGCTGGCTGAGCTGTGGCGGTCAGGCTGGCATTGCCTTCTTAGGAAAGTCTGCAGGTTAAGCAGTGTGGAGCAGTGATGAAGTCTTGGGGACTAGAGGCCCTAGTTTGGGAATCAGACTGCAGATGACCTCTGACCTTGAATAGGACCACACAGGCTAGGGTGAACCCACAAAATGGTACCCTTTGCATGTAACCCCTTCCCCCGCCCCAGCCTACTTTCTTGGCTGTCCCCCAGCACAATTAACTAACTAGGGTTTGCTGGCCCCTCTTCTCAGGGTGTGGAAATGCAGGCAGACTTCAATAAGTCTCCAGATTGTGCTCCTGACTGGTAATTCATTGGTCAGGGCCAGTGTGAGAAGAGGAGTCAAGGGTAATCATTCGGGAGGAAATGAAATCTAGCATTTTCAGGGCTTTTAAATCCTTGGATTGGTGGAGATCTCAGGTCCAGGGGCCCACGAACTGCTCCTCATTTCTCTCACCCCTCTTTTAATAAGATGACTAGCTTGCTAAGTGGGGTCAGAGTTTGAACCAAAGAAGATATTTACTTTTGTTTCCTGCACTGGCTGGTGATGGAGCTGCTACAGAGAGCAGCTTAAGGTCCCAGTTGCCTGCCTGAAGTCCAGCCTCTGCAGCAATTGTTTGCATGCCTGTGGGTTTGTAACATACAAAAGACTGCCAAGTCCTGGGAGTGGAAGTGGCCTAGGCCTCTTAAATGGAGGGCTTGGGCAGCTTTGTGGGTGGACAGAGTTCTCTAGGGAAATTCACACCCATTTTCTTCAGAAGCAAAAAAGTAAATTCTATTAGTTCCAACCAACCAGGACTTTTCTCATGCCAGATATCCTGCCATGAAGAAATTTTAAAGTCATCCAGCATGCCACCCTTCTGTAGGAATGCAAAGTTGGGTCTGCTTTCTTTTCTGATTTGTGTTTATTACCTTTGGAGATGGATGCCTTTTGGTTAGGAAAAACTGAAAATAAATAAAATCCTCTGGGAAATGGTGAGTCTACCCCCCCCCCCCACACACACACACACACACATACCTCTCAGGCTTGAACCTAGAAAAGAAGGGAGAGGGAAGGGTGAAAACACCCAAGCTAATTCAAGTCCCAATTGGGGGTTGAGGGAGAAAGAAAGAGATCTTTGAACATAGAGAACTGGAAAGCCTTTGAGATAGCAGAGCCCCACTTGGATTTGGCGTGCAGTTCAACAACTTAAACAACCGCTTGTTCTGTGGACTGGAGTGTTAAGACAAGCAGACTTCCTCACTGATAGAGGGCTTGTTGTGTTTGTCCAGCCTGAGACCTTTTCAATGACTGTTTGTCTTTCTAGGCCAAATTGAGGGCTGGGGTTGGGTGGATTGCCTCTGTTTGGCTGCTCCACTGCCTTTCCTTCCCTGACAGATGCAGAAGTCCCCAGGGTGGGTTTCAGGTTTTAAGATGGCCAATGGCTTACTGATTCTATCCACAAAGTGAATCTGATATGCAAATATCTTGTGGGGGTTCGGGGGAGCAGGTTCTTTCTGACTTTCTTCTTATTATTATTTTTAAAATATATTTTTATTGATTTCAGAGAGGAAGGGAGAGGGAGAGAGAGAGATAGAAACATCAATGATGAGAATCATTGATTGGCTGCCTCCTGCATGCCCCTACTGGGGATCTAGCCCGCAACCAGGACATGTGCCCTTGACCTGAATCCAACCTGGGACCCTTCAGTCCGCAGGCCCAATGCTCTATCTACTGAGTCAAACCAGCTAGGGCTGTTTCTGACTTTCTTAAATAAGAAGTGGGACAATCAGGACCAGATGATAGAAATGAGACCCACCCACCAAATCTGGGAAATTTTATATTAACTTTGAAAAGTCAACCAGTAATGGCTTCCAAAGGGGTCTGGGGGAAGAAGCCATGTGAGAGATTCCACACCAGCAGAACAGAACAGGATCTAGAAATTTGCAAAATAATTCCTCTCCTCCCAGTTACAAGAGTTACAACTCAATTTTTAATCTGCTAATGTCCCAGCTCTCCCCATTCTATTTTACTAAACTCAATTAGTACACTTAAAGAAGATAACGGCAGCTGCTCATACAATAAATTCAAATTCTAAAAGTTAGAGATGTTTGAACACTGACTGACTGAATTGAGTGCTTACTTCTACCTGCAAGACAGAATAACATGAGTTTAAAATAAAAAACAAAACAAAACACAACTTGTTGGGGAATGATGATTTTAATATTTTTTTATCTTTAAGGATATGTTGTTTTGCAATAAATACAGGAAGTTCCCAGCAGAGTTCTTTTATTTTTCACTGCCAAATTTGAAAATGGTCAAAGAAAGACTGAAAGACTTTTCAGATCCACACTTTTTTTTCACTCACACATGCGGGCTACAAGACCATTGCATACAAACATGTATAAAAATATTTAACTAGTAACTGTTTCTCTTTTTACCCCCAACAGGCTCAAAGTCAGGAAATGAGATATGACATCCTTGGGGATGAGGAAACGATTGCGACTTTACCAAACGGCTCTGAAAGAGTTGAGTAAGTTAAAATCCTCTTTTGAATATTGGTTTGCTGAAGTTATTTCTCTTTTAAGTAGGAAATTTTGTTTTGTCTTTTGCTTATGTTGGTTGTGAGTTTGGGGATATTTCTTGAGTTCAAGTGAAACTTAGAACAACACCTTGGTGTTTAATAAATTTGCACACAAATCAGCAACTCAACGTCCCACCAGCAGCTGACTAATCTCCCTCAAAGCCTACTCATCCGGATGTTCTAGAATTAATATTTGACGACACTCTCATTGAAACAACCACCCCTGACCTGCAGTTTCACTGTCACATTAGTCTGTGACATATTCATCTTGAATTCATTTCCAGTTGATTTGATTGGAATGAGGTTTGACATGTATTGGCTTCCATGAAAGAAGCATACTTTGATCTTGGTGATGGGGTTTACATGATATGCATCATCTTTACCAGGGACACCAGCCTTCTGCAATGTGGTGGTGATGATCTTCCTACAATGTGGTGTCTGAACAGAGTGACTGACAGCTGCTCAGACAGGAATACCTTCATTGTAAAGAATTTAATTTAATATTCCATTTAGAATAAGCATATGATTTAGGGTTGGGTGTTTCCCCTTCCAAGCATCCAGTTTTCCTCATTTTAACTACACCACTAGCTGATGGTTGCCTCCAAGGTGTTTTTTTGTTGTTATTAGTAGAAAAAGCAACCTTCTTAGCAAAAGTTAAATGACTCAGGAAATGGTTATCTTCTATTATTTTGGGATGATTTGAAGACAGAATTCTCAAGGGAGGTGTGGTTATTATGTAAATTCTATTGTTTTAGTTTTTCAATGCTGTTCTGAAAAATCCTTTAGCCATGTTTCTTAATCTTTTGTTGAAAGATGTTTTGCAGAACCATTGTTTGAAAATTAAATTCTATCCAAGTGTATTTTCTTTCATTCTTAGTTCCATTAATAATGACTAAAGCCTGAACTGGCATAGCAAAGGGGAGGAATGTCTCTAAAATCCTCATAGATCTCATCTCCTTTGTACAATTCGGACCTGGACATATGGTGGCCTCCTGGGGCTTAAGTTATTTAATTATTTTCCCATAAGAATAGAGACAATCTCTCACTGCAGGAATCCTCAAGTCTGTCTTTGACTAGGATCTGAAGAGATTTGTCCCTAGTTTGGGTTGGTAACCTGGTCAGAAGTGAGGAAGAAAAGATTGAACAGATGACTGCAGATTTAGATGCAGAAGATCCAGGCAACAAGGCTTATGCTTACCCAGGCTCTGTGCAGTGGCCCTTGGCTCCTAGGATACTGCTGGATAATCATCATTTAACATTGTTTAAAAGAGCAAAATTGGAAAATAGCCCAGTTATGCATCTGAAATTTTCCTGATTTCTTTCTTTCCCGAGGGAGAGAGATCAGACATTTTCCCATTTGAGCCAATGATGTGAGGAGCTCTGGCAGATGATAGCATCATCAAATGTCATATTTCTATACAGTAGGATTAGAAAATCAGTTTAGTTTATGCTATTGCATTGGTTTGGCTTAGATAAACAAGGGAATATAGGGCATGATTCTGGGCATTTGGAGGAATGTTTAGGGTCTTTTGTGCTCCAAACAGTCTCCCATGAAGGCCTCCAGAGCTTCTCACCTCTGCTGAAAGATCTCTGGACTCTAAAATATGTCTTTTTTTCCTGCAAATGAAGCAGGAAAGTGGAATCAGTAATGCTATAAACTGCAGAATGGTTAGGAAAAGAATATTCCAGTTACGCATTTGGTATTGGAAGCAAGTATGGTGAGATAAAGTTCTGAAAAAAAAAATTCTGATCACCACTGAGGGGGATACTACTCCTCAGCCTGCCCAATCAAAAATTAATGATACCTGAACTACTTGCTACCTGAGCACTAGAAGACCCAAAGGAATGTCTCTGAAAACTAAAATATGCCTGCTTACATTTGTGTCCCACCTGTCTTTTGTGATTTGCTGGATACAACTTTGTTGCTAACTTCAGAGATAAGCCTTGAAGACCCTTATGTAATTGCCCCAAATTTCCTGTTTATAAATATTAGTGGGTGAAATCAATTTTTTTCTACCTACCTCTGTCTCTCGGGGAAATGTCCAGATGTTTTCAGTGCTTCAAGAGAAGGCTGCATCTGGGAGGGAGCTCCACAGGGCCAGGTAACTGTTGGTGAATTTGACTGAATCAGATAAATCTGCCCTTTTGCTGTTGGCACAAAAAGTCATACACATGTTCAAAGCTTTTCAAGGTAAAGTTAGTAAGAGAGAGTGTGTATAAAACCTCTGCTTATCCCTAGAGTCCATGGAGTCAATCTGTAAAATTCAAGTAGTCTGCAAATATGGATAGGGAAAAAAAGAATCTTTATTTTCACCACCTTCTAATGGAAAGTTATCATTTTCTTCTTTATAAGCATGGACAACACACACAGTACTATTAGAATTCACTAGTTCAAAAGGGTTCCAATAGGTTTCAAAGCCTAAAACAACTTAAATACCCTTGTTCTGCACAATTACTCAATGCTTTTGATACAGGTGGGATCACCATGTATATATTAAGAGATACATTTTTGTGCAAATCAGAGTTTTAATGGAAGTCAAAGTGGATGATGAGTTTGACAAACATCCTGGGCAGTAGGTTGTAGATGACCTATGATCAGGTGGGAAAGAAAACGTTTTAATTACTGAACTACTGCAAAAGTGCCCTGCACTTAGGTCTGAATGCTACTGGAGGAGGTGACTAAGTTCTGTGTTGAGGGATGCCTAGGAGAAACAGCTAGTGATCCTAGGGAGGAACACACACCTTTGGGTTTTTGATTTTGGTGTTTGTTATTTTCTGAGCCCTACTTGGGTTCAGCCCAGACTTGCCTAGTAAGCTGCATCACTCAACAGACACCTGCACCCAGAGGAGCCTTAAAATCACTCACAGAGACTGGAATACCTCAAATACTATGGCTAGAGACAGAGATCTTTCCTGACCAGACTTAGAGGAAGGGAAAACAGGATGGGAGACCAGAGGAGGTGCCTGTAGGCAGAGGGATAAGTCCAAGAAAGTGGGAGTGTTGGAGAGCATGAAAGCCAGGAAAGAAGACAAATCCTCAAAGCCTAGTCTCAACACTGCTGTGGAAGCCCTTGGTTTCCAGAGCAGACAAGGTTAGGCTGTCAAATGCTCTCCTTCAACTTTTAAAAAAATATATATTTTTATTGATTTCAGAGAGGAAGGGTGAGGGAGAAAGAGATAGAAACATCAAAGATGAGAGAGAATCATTATTTGGCTGCCTCCTACATGCCCCACACTGGGGATCGAGCCTGCAACCAGGGCATGTGCCCTGACCAAAAATGGAACTGTGACCTCCTAGTTCACAGGTCAACACTTAAACATTGAGCCATGCCAAGCCCAGCCAATTTTTTTTTTCAGTGCTAACCATAGCACCTATTGGTTGTGTTGCTTAAGCTCTACCAGCTGGAGGAGCAGAAAGACCCGCACTTGCCAAAGTCAGGGGAAATTGTTGTGGAAGCTAATCCCTAAATAAAATGAACCCAGAGCAGGAATGAAGAAAGTCTCAAAGAACCTGCTAACCATTATAAATAAGTAAATTATTTTTAAAATTTAAAAGAAATCTTCATTTATACTGACCAGGGAATGTATAATGGTTCTTGCTGCTGGAAATGGGTGAGACAACTCAAAAACCCTTCATCAGAGTTCATAGTAATCTGTCCAAACTTCTCACCTCTGCTACAGGTATGGGAATTTTTACCCAATCTTTAAAACATCTCTTAAAAAAACCTTTTCTCAGCTTTTGGGTGCTTTCTATGGCCACCAGAGAAGCCCAAGTACTTAGGTTGGCATTTTTGGCTAGAGACCAAGACAGGGGTAGAAGCCAGCAACCCTTTACATCGCCAGGTGATGTAGCTCATCCTAACTAGTGGGTTGACACAAACAAAGGATACCCTCAACCCCTTTGCCCAGACCTGAAGGGTGTTTTTTTTTCACCTCACACCCCCACCCCAAGACTGTATAACCCAAAGGCCAGGAAGCCACAGTCTTCTCACAGCCTAGCCTCTACTCTTAACATGGCCTCTACTCTTATCAGAACTTTAAAGACAAGCGAGGAAGGAGGCAGTGACTCTGGCAACAGGCAACAAGTGGTGGGAGCTGAGAGTGGAATTGATCCCTAAATCTACCCTTTCTCAAAGGCTCCATTTGGCGTCAGGGTCTACAGAGCTCAAAGAGGGAGACCTAGGAGCGTAAGGAAATGGAAGAGTGAGAAAATGTTTCTTTTTGCCATGCTACCCTTTTTTCTTTGGCCAGTCCACCTGAGGGGTGCTGTGATTTATGGCTGAGAAGTTCCTTAGCCCCTCTCAGGAGGGCTGTGTGGGTTTGAAGTCAGCCTCTCGAGGTCATCAACTCCTCCTGCTCACTCCTGGCTCTGGCCAGGACTGGATTCTGGGTTTCACCAGTCTGTGAGAGCACCAGGCACTGGAGGGGGGACCGCCAAGGTTAAGTGGGAAGAAGAGAGCAAGGGAGGGGAGAAGGAAGGATACATGTTGGAAGGCATAGTGTGGTCTGGGCTTGGGAGAAATGAGAGAGAGAGAGAGAGAGAGAGAGAGAGAGAGGAGAGTGGGAGGAGGAGAATTGATTTTGCGAGAAAATCAGGAATCGTAAAATTTTGGGTTTGGGGGAGGTGTGGGCTTGGGGGTTTCTTTTTGTCTCCAGGCCGTCTGGCCTGCAGTCATCTTTCCTCCCTAGATCCCGCCTTCGCTTTCACATGGCTCCTGAGACAAACCGCTGAAGCCGTCCAGGTGCTGCCTATCAGTCCTGGCAAGATTGGGTACAGTAGGTCTGCCCCGAGGACATGTGCAAGGCAATACCCGTCCCCAAAGTCGTGGAGAACAGAGGCATTACCGAGCTCCGCTCACTTTCAAGAGCATATCTATCCAGCTTTCGGGAGATAAGGGGGAGGTTCAGGAGGAGAGAATCCCTGCCTGGGTCAGAGTGCAGGAGCAGAATTGGGAGCTGATAGGGGGCGAGGGGAGGGGCGGGGAGAGGAGGAGCTGGAGCAGTTGTCCGCGCGCGTGTGTGTGTGTGTGTGTGTGTGTGTGTGTGTGTGTGTGTGTCCGCGAGCGGCGAGACCTGTCATCTCTGACATCGGGCACGACGGCAGACCAATGGGAGACCTAGGCGATTGTTCCTCTCCGACAGCCCAGACGGGCCCCCATCTCTATTCACTTCCTCACACGCTCTGCTGCCGCCTCTGTAGTGTGCGGGTTTCAAGTAGGCTTTAAAGATGGGGCGGGGGGGGGGCAGTAGGGGAGGAGTAAAGTAACAATCCAAAACTTGAAGGGAAAGAAAAAAAAAAAAACCTCTTCAGAAGTTGTTTTGTGGTTCTTTTTCCCCCTCCACACTGTCAGGTGACAGTGGCCTGAGCGGCCAGACTCTGGCAACTCTGGGGAGTCTGAGTCCGGATGCAGGCCGCCCACTCCCAGCTGACCTGGGCGCTGAAATTAGTGCATATGGCCGTGCGCTTCAGTAGCACCCCCACCACCTACAACATCCCCACTGCCCTTATCCCCAATCCCCCGCAGGGTGGGGTTGTTGGCCGCCAAAGCGTACTTGGGGAGCAGGTCGGACTTCTCTGGAGCAGAGCCTAGGGGCTCCCATCTGCCCACAGACTCAGCATTGAGTGTCCCACTACCCCTTCCACCAGCCGAGCCGCCACCATCCATCTAAAGCTCTTGGAGCGGTTGGGGGCTCTACCCAACAGCCGCCCAGCCTGACCTCGGCGGAGGCACTGGATCTCGTGTGGCCTATTGGGTTTGCTGCCTCAGCTGTCTGGCTCCAGGTCTGGGCTCTGAAGGCAGAGGCTGTAGTGAGGCTGGGCTAGATGTTCCCCCCACCCACCTCCGCCAGGTGGAACGCTCAGCTCACGCCACCTGTTCTCACGCTCGCTATTTGTCTTGACAACAGGTAGTAGCTCCGGACATCATGACCCCCAGCTCATTGCTGCCTCCAAACCCTCGGTGTTCCCTGGCCTTCACGAACAGCCTCCCGAGGCCTCCGCCAGTGGCACTTTGAACGGACTCCTGCGACTGGGGCTCCCCAGAGAAATGAACGCGCGCCCCGAAGCCTTCTCGCCAGGACCAGTGGCCCGCAGCAACGCCCTAGCAGCTGCCGGGGCCCTGCATGGCTATGGGAGCATGAACCTGACCGTGAACCTCGCTCTGCCCCAGGGTCCCGGTGCCTTCTTCCGTTACATGCGCCAGCCCATCAAACAGGAGCTCATCTGCAAGTGGCTGGCGGTAGATGGCCCCGAGCTCCCGCAACTCTGCTCCAAAACTTTCAGCACCATGCACGAGCTGGTCACGCATGTCACTGTGGAGCACGTCGGCGGCCCAGAACAGGCCAACCACATCTGCTTCTGGGAGGAGTGTCCGCGCCAGGGCAAGCCCTTTAAAGCCAAATACAAACTTGTAAATCACATCCGCGTTCATACAGGCGAGAAGCCCTTCCCCTGTCCTTTCTCGGGGTGTGGGAAGGTCTTTGCTAGATCAGAAAATCTCAAAATACACAAAAGAACTCACACAGGTCAGTATTCGGCACTACCTTGTTTAGATTCTCTGGGGAAATAGGGGGCCTCTTCAGGGCCCTCAGGCTGGATTTCCTCAAGTTCCATCCCGGGAGGGTGTGTGTGTGTGGGGGGGGTGGTATTTGGTGTTTCCATGAGCCAAGCCCATAAAATATTAATTATGCTCTTCTATTAGAGTCACAGAAGTTCCCAAGACTGAGTGTGAGGAAGACAATAAGGGACTTTTGCTCTGGGAGGCAAGGGTGAAGGTGTTTGGGTCTCTAGTGTGTGAATGTGTGCTCCCTGCCCATTTAGTTTGATTTTAAGGTATTTAAATCGTACTGTTTTTCTATCTTAAATATATAGGAATAATTTAATTTTCCCCAGGTTTTTTTTTGCCAACACTCTTCCAGCATTACAACCTGACCACCACCTGAACTGAGGGGTCATCAAGCTCTTGGCTACTTCTTTAGGATCTGGGGTCTCTAGGCTAACTTTTGGAGCCTTGATAACTGGACACTTGGGACAATTGACAAACCTCTCTTCTGCTTTAGCAGAGATCCAAGGAGACTCATCTGCCTTAAATGTCATTTACCGAGCTGTTAAGTGAAATGGGGACATGTGTCAACCACATCTGTCAGTTCTAGTTAACAGACAGGAAAGGAACCAGGGCAAGAGCCTGCAAAGTTGAACTTCTCTGGCCAGAAGCATCTCTAATTAGTGCAATTGCAAGGAAAAAGTTTTCACATTTTCCAGAACAGCCCGTAAAGTTACATTAATTAGTTTAGCAGTCATGTTTATACTCCAGTTAGCTAGGGTTTTCTTGCTCACCCTCCAAGTTTAAGAAATCAACATTTCCCCTCTCCTGTTTGTTTTTGTGTTTGTTTGTTTGTTTCCTGGGAGGAGGGGGCGAGAAACTGGACCGGTGGCCAGAACCAGGGTATGAAATAAGTTCCACCTTGGTGCTCCACTTCTCCTACTCCCTGGCTCTCTGTTTTACTCACCTCTATTATTGGTGGAAACAACGGCAATTATTAGAGTCAAAGAACTCTCCCAGGCTGGTTGCCAATGCCAGAGAACGAGTCTTGCTAAATCCCGCCTTCTCTCGAAAACCCTGCAATCTTGAAGAAGGTCCGTGGCCAGGACAATGGCACAGGCGGAGGCCAGACCACCAAAGTCCACTTTTAGTTTCCTACTTTATTTCTGGAGCACGTCTGGAAACGTATGGTTTTCTGGACTTGTTTCCAGGATGCCTCCTCCCCATCAGAGTTTCATCCCGGTGTGAGGCATAAAGAAGTGAGGTACTGTTCACCGCCCAGGCTGGCTACTCCAGAAGCTGGCGGTCCACACCGCAAAGGTAGACACGCAGTCCTGAGCCAGAGGAACTGATTTTTAATGACAGGGGAGTTCTAAACAAACACACTCTGCCGGCCTACTGTTTGAAGGCCGTGAAGCAGAAAATGGTTTAAATTCTTAGTTTAATCGACCTACAGCCGAGAAGCAAGTTCTGTGCGGCTGGGCTGGCTCAGGTTTTTTCTATCCGGGACCAAATTCTAGGTGCGTCCTTTGCGCTGGCAGTCCCGATTCATTACCGCTGGGGTTAAAAAAAAAACCTGCAGGGCCTGGTCCACCGTTTCTCTCGCCCCTTCCTAAGCAATGAAAAGACGGGGGGGGGGGGGCAACAAAATGTTTCTCAAATGGCAATAGACCTCACGACAAATTATTCATGAAGACAGTTCAACAGGAAAATAATTGCCTTTTCAAATATTAATGGCGTTTCATTTTCTCGAGTCGAGGAAGCGGCGAATGATTATTTTTCGGGAGTTAAAATTCGTCCGGATCTGAATCCCAGGCCTGGCCTCGGATGCGGCTGCCCGGGGCCCAAGCAGAAAGGTTTCACTTTGTGGCGGTCCCCGCAGTCCCGGAACAAAGGTGCCGCCGCGAGGGAAACACAGGCGAGCCGCCGCGCTCCGGCCGGTCCCCGCCGCCTGGCGCCCTTCCCGGGACCCCTGTGCCGCGGACTCGCCCCGCCTTCCCAGGCGGTGGGCAGGGAGAAGCAGGGCTGAGGTCTGAGGTAGAGACTGCGCCCGGGCGGAGACGCTCGGACAGCCCCGCACAGCCACAAGTGCGAGAAAATGGCGTTAGCGCACCGCCCTGCCGCTGCCAAACTTGGTCGGGCGGGCCTGGCGCGGGGCTGGAGAAGGGGCCTCTCTTGGTAGTCGAGCTTCTGGGAGGAGACTCCGGGCCTTTCACTCAGCCCCAGAACCCGCTGCTCGGGAAGGACTGCAAGGCTCTGGACCAACTCTGCCTCTCCACATCCACCCACTCAGGGTTCAGAGCCCAGACCCGGTGGGAGGGAGGCGGTGGGTGGGGGTGGGGGTGGAGGGTAGTGTTAGACGGGGAAACCAGGGCGGCTCCAACAACCCCGGTGAGGCCGCGAGGGCAGGAGGGCATGCGGGCGCGCGGGCGCCGCTTCTCTTGGCCTCCCAGCGGCCTCGGAACTTCCAGGCCCGTATCACCTTCAGTGTCCTGCTTTTATCCGCCTCTGCTCCTCGTCTGGGACGAAATCATTGTTTCTGTTTTACGTGAATGTCCAAGGAGGCGCTCACAAGATGGGATAAGTGTGTGTGGGGGGGGGGGGGAGGGAATCAAGCTTTAATTCCACACCTCCTCTGTTTTCTCAGCAAGTCTTGTTTCCTTTTGAGGGTCCTAAATTGCATGGTTCTTGTTAGATGTTTTTTGGGGGGCGTCGGGGGAGAAAATGAAAAGTTTTAGTTTGGCAAATACTAACAGGGATTAAAGGGAAGAAAACGAGGGGGCAAATAAGGGCACTGATTCATTTTGCATGTCTCTTTATTCATTTTTATAAAACGGTACCGATGTCCCGAGAAATAGCAGGTTCTAGTACCGTTCACTGTTATATTGTACTTGCAATAGTCCTGCAGGGGGAGGGTGCAACGGCCGGGCGGGGACCGAGCTCTGGGTTTACAAACCTCTGCCGCCCTGAGGCGAGGGTGGTGCGCAAACCTCTGGCTCAGCGTGAGCCTGGGTGAAGATGGAGAATAGGTGCTTTGTTTAAACCTGACCCCAAAGCTCTCCGTCTTTCCTGGGAGTCACGGGAGAAGCGACCACAAAGGCAACAGTCCTGCAGCCGTGCACCTCTTTCTTCTCAACCAGAAGCTTGGGAGCGGTTCCCTCTATCCATGGAGCATGGCGGCATCCAATTATTTAAAGTGTCTATACACTTTCTCGCCTCCTTCCCGCAGCGCCTGCAGCTCCGCAGGAACCTGGGCTTCCGGCTTCTCAGGGTTCTTTCCTCCCCCACAGGCCAGCGAATCCAGCCGACGGTGAGCTCCCAGATTGGAGCTCGGACCTCGGCCAGTATTTCCAACCTAATATGCACTCGCGCCTTCCCGCGGCTCTACAGGGCATCGCACCAGGGAGCCGAGTCTCTCGCGGGTCTACCCCCGCTGCCTGCTGGTCTTCCGTCCCCGGGAACGGACCTGAAGTGACCGCAGCAGCTGCGCTCACACCGAAGCCTCCATGCTCAAGGGTTCGATTGCGAGATAGGCTGCGGATCCCACTGGGCCCGGGCAGATCCTGACGCACGGGCCTGTCACCTCAGGTCTGCTAGGCCCAACTCCCGGGCGTGGTGGTCTGGGGAGGGTCAGTTGACCACACAGCCAATTGGGACTGGGAGAGCTGGCTGCCCGCGGCAGCGTCTCCCGGAAACCTCAGGAACAGCGTAATACAGTAATATTGGCGGCGCTCTTAGGTGGGGGGATCCCGAGCAGTTTAGGCAAGATTTGAAGAATGCTGCTAAACCAGTGGTTCTCCACCTTCCTAATGCCACGACCCTTTAATACAGTTCCTCATGTTGTGGTGACTCCCAACCATAAAATTATTTTCATTGCTACTTCATAACTGTAATTTTGCTACTGTTATGAATAGTAATGTAAATATCTGATATGCTATATGTGTTTTTCGATGGTCGCGACCCACAGGTTGAGAACCGCTGTTAAACGTTTGCCCTCAGGGGATCGAAGGGAAGGGGGAGGAAACTCCCATTTCCTGTAAAAATCGCCTCTGAAGTGAATCATTGCTCAGAATACCTTTTCCTACGGCACGAATCCACACTGCGCACTTGTCATGTGTATCGGGTGCGCACTCTTAAAATTATCCCACCGCCTTGACATTTACACTAAACCTCCTTTAGGAAATAGTTTGGGCCAGGATGGGGTGTGTGCGGGATGGTCCTCTGAGCGGGGAACTTTGGCTGGAACAGCAATTGTAAATTGAGCAGAAAAAAAACCTCCTCGGTCAACTCTGTTTTCTGGGCAGAGGAGCTTCTGGCTCCGAATGGAGAAAATTTGGAGGAAAACAATCAGAGTAGATCAGGATTTTCCAGGATGGAAACTCAACTAAGATGGGTTCTTTGTCGCTCCTCCTCCGTCCTCTCCCCCAGGCTTGGCAGGAGAGGGGGGAAGGGTGGAGGTCTGTAGGAGGCAGTTTAGCGGGCGCACTCCGACCCGGGAAGAAGTTACCAGCCCTAAGGGGCCGTGCACAAAAGTTTCTGAAAATCTTTACGGGTTCTTTTCCAAATAATGGAAAAGAAATTTAGGGAGATTTGTGGCTGAGCCAGGCTCGGGTCACATGCACTAATGTCTCTGCATTGCCTCCATCAGGGGAGAAGCCCTTCAGGTGCGAGTTCGAGGGCTGCGAGCGACGCTTCGCCAACAGCAGCGACCGCAAGAAGCACTCGCACGTGCACACGAGCGACAAGCCATACACGTGCAAAGTACGCGGCTGCGACAAGTGCTACACGCACCCCAGCTCGCTGCGTAAGCACATGAAGGTGCACGGGCGCTCACCGCCGCCTCTTAGCTCTGGCTACGTCTCTGCCACGCAGTCTGCCGTTGTGTCGCTTTCGCTTTCATCGAACTTCGGCCGCGAGCCCCTGGTGGCCTCCTCGGCGGCAGTAGTGGCGCGTGGCGTCGAATTGAGAGAATGGTATGTGTGTCAAGGCACTGGCCGGGTTATAACTGTCCCCCGCCGCGCCAAGTCCGGCGCCAGCACCTGGCCCTGCCGCTTGCCGCCTCTGCCTGTGGTATTAGGGCTACTGCTGCGGTTGCTGCTCGCGTGCAATGACTGCTCAGTGTAGATCCAGTTCTTGAGGCTTGAAGAGAAGGTGAGGAAGCAAGAAGGGAAGGAGGGAAAGAGGGAAGGCAGGAAGGAAGGAAGGAAGGAAGGAAGGAAGGAAGGAAGGAAGGAAGGAAAGAAGGAAGGAAGGAAATTCACTGTTAATGGTTGTTATAGGTCATTGAATATGCTGACAGAATGTAAATATGTTACTTATTTATTCTACAGTAACACCCCCCCCACACACATACACACACATCCACACAGACGCCTTCATGACCTGGTAGCATGAAACCAGTGTTGGGGTAAAGAAGGTAGATAAACAGATGGACAAGAAAAAATATATATATATTAGAAAGTTTATGTGCAATTTTGGCAACTTCAGGTGACAAAACTAAGACCACAAAGTCTTCCCGAGGTTCAGATAATGGGAAATATTTTCCTTCAGGATTGGGCCACTTGTATTGCCAGGCCCCACTCCTTTCTCAGTTCCCAGTTGCAGTCTCCACCAAAGTTCGGATCACTTATATCTTACCTCCCATTTCCTTCGTCTTTTGCTTCCTTACAATTTCACCTTACAGCTGTCTTTTGAAACAAAAGTACACACGTTCCAGATCCCAAAATTTTCCAGCACTTCTATAACAGAGATAAGAGAGTTTCAGCACCACTGCTGGGACTCACATGCCTTTCCCCTGCAAACTGACCCAAGCACACAGACACATCTGTCTGCTAGTCTGCTTCGTATATACATCATATACTTGGGATAGGGGGTGAGTAGAAACAATGGGAAATTCAGACAAAAGAGTGTTAGAGGGGCTTTAGGATTCAGTGCTCTGAGGTCTCCCCAGACCAATCATCCTCTCCTTCTACCTCCTACCCTTGTCTAGCCTTGGCTTATGGAATCTTGTGGCTGCTTGGAGCTAGGAGTGCAGAGAGCCAATGATGTCACTGAGCCTAGGTCTCCACTAGACAGGTATCCGACCTAGGCCACAGTGTCTATATAAATCCAGTCAATTCTGTGATGATCTTTCAAAAATCGCACAATGTTGATTTTTTTTAAGGTGAAGAAGGGGACAAAAGATGAACTGCAATAACAAATGTTTTAAACGCAAATACCCAAATGAGTTTAGATTGAATGTGTATTATTTATTTATTAGAGAGAGAGAGAGAGAGAGAGAGAGAGAGACATCAATATGTTGTTCCACTTATTTATGCATTCATTGGTTGACTCCTATATGTGCCCTGACTGGGGATCAAACCCATAACCTTGTTGCATCAGGATGATCTTCCAACCAACTGAGTTAACCAACCAGGGCTGAATGTGTATTTTATGTGCTGGGTACTAAGTCCCCAGAAAGAGAACCAGATGCTGGTGGCAGGGGAAGGGAAAGTCTTTGCAACTGTTTCCAGGGGGGGAGGGGGATTGGGGCCTATTTTGCAGTCTAACACCGTTAGAATAGGGTTTCCCAGAAATCCTTGTTGAGATTTAGAGGGGGGAAAAAGAAAGAAAAAGAAAGGGGGGAAATCTTGCACAGATCCATTCCAGTCCCCTAAAAGTACCCCTAATAAAAACCAGAATCTTCCCAACACATCCTTAGTGAATCTCTCCTTGTGGAAGAGGGACTACAACCCCCTTCCCCCCAGTACAAGAGGGCCCAGATGCTGCCGGGTCAAGGGCTGGGTTGGCAGCAAACCTTGTTCCCCTCCGGAAACACCTGTCCCATGGCCAACATGCAGAGGGCATCTGGTAGATTTGCGTCTTCTGACAATGTTTAAAAATTCTCCCATCCCCAAATTGGACTAGGTTCTTTCTCTTGTGTTTCTAGACCCAATTGGCCTTCCACCCACATCCAAAATAATAAAATAAAAACAACAATGTTTGGTAGGCCACTAATCGCCTATAATTTTTCATTTGCTTGTTACAGATGTCCACCGAGTTGCTCCTAAGGTAATCTCGTCCAGCGCAGCTGAGAGCCCGCATCTCGCGCCTGTGACATCAAAGGGCCCGCACACAAAGCAATGTTTCTTCGCCACGGTGCATCTTCATGGTAAGTTAGGATTTCTATGGCAATGGGCAAGTCACACTGAAATCCTGAAAGGCCAAGCCTGGAGCCCATCCAGGCTTTTCATTAAGGACATAATATTTACGTCTAACAGGCCTTTCCCCATGTGTATACAAGTATATATTTTTGTTTGACGCAGACTAAATCATTTTCATTTAATTTCCGGTAAACAAAACCCACACGAATGGGCACTTGTTCTCGATCATAATAAAAATGGATAATAATGGGAGAGAAGAAAAAGGCCGTTTGAATCGCCGCTCAGCCCTCTTTGTTTCTGCTTTCTGCGGTGATCAGAGGGCGAGTTTCTAAAGGCGAGGAAATGGTTTTTAAGAGGGGAAAGAAAAGGAGAAGGGTCTAATCAAGCTCGGGTTGTTCAAAGAGTTGAGTTTTGGGGTTGAAAGTGTGAGTTTGACGGTGCATCAGCATGCCAAGTTGGGCTCGCCATGGAAATGCGCTCAGGGAGCGGCCCCTTCAAAGGCGGCATACTTCATTGCAGATGCTCTATGAAGATACATTTGCGCTGACCTTTGCTTTTACGCCATTTGATACTGTCACTACGTTCTCCAATATATACTTCCCCCTTAGGACCTGCCTTGCTGACGTTTTAGGTGCTCACTCTGCATTCTAACATAGGTGGGTGCTTTGGTGCCAGGGATGCTTTCAGGAAAGGGCAGAACCTGACTCAGCACACAGAATCCGCACATCTTGGCTGTCCCTCAAAGAGGCTCCAAGGTCAGGAGTAAATAACATTAGGGCAACCTCACAAGCTTAACAAGTAAGCATGCCAAGCTAGATTCTGTGCAATGCACCTCTCTGCATCTTGAGCAAGGTGGAGACCTGAATTTGAGTGAGACTTGCAGGGCAGGGGAGCCACCCTGGATGAGTCTGAGAAGTTCAGACTGTGGCTTTCAGTCATTTCCACTTTGGCCCCAGCACAGCCCATTCTGCCCCTCTATCCCAGAAGTCTCTTGCAGCCCCCCAAACTTACTTCTCCCTAGAGTGCTGTGTATGGTATCTCTCAGGCCTGGGCTGGCCCTGGGCATGAGCTCAAGAGTGCAAGGCCAAGGAGATAGGGAAGATGGCAAGAAAGTTAGAAGTCCATGTTCCCTTAATTGTCATGTTGTTTATTTTATCCAAGTACCCTAGAGAATAGGGGAAAAATAAACATGGTGGAAAAAAAATCAAACAGTGGAGTCTTCTTTAGTGTCAGTCCTTGTGGTTGAATAAAAAGGATGGTCCACTTTCTATTGAGCTGAGAAATCTTTGAAGTGAGAGTTATTATCTGAGACATTCTTGCTTGTCGTCCTAACAACGCTGATGAAATGTAAAAGGTTCTTTGTCAGCGATTTGTTCTCCTCTCTGTCAAACTCTCTCTGCCCTGTTAGTTTCAAAGCGTTTCTAAAGAGATAAAAATCAAACTTCGTTAAAAAAGAAAAGACATACACACTAACTGGTAACTTTAGGGCTAAGTCCTGCTTACGGGAAAACAAAAGTAATGCAGAGACATCAGGTCCAAGGCCTGTGGAGGTGTGCAGATGTTGAGGGGCCCTTTGCACAGGCTCTGACACAGGCATGTAGGCTTCTCCAAGCTCTGGCATGCATTCAATCAGTCCAAGTCAGGTCACTTGAGCCTCCTCTGGGGACCCCTCAAGATCCCAATATTCTTGCCTGGGATAGTAAGGCTGCAGCCAAGGTATGGTTAATATTTCCTGTTCCTCCAAAGACAATCTCTGAAAAAAAAAATAGACCCATTGTGTGTTTCTTCTCATTAGCAGCAATCAGCAAGTCTTGTCTGCCATTAATAGGAGAGTGGCTTGAGGGAGAGAGACATTTTTATAATTTCATGTTTTCTTCAGAATCTTGGCAATTGGAGTTCAGAAGATTCAGTTTACAAGATAGTGACCCCAGAGTGCATGCAACACCCCCTCCCATCCACATATGCAGTTCTTCATGTTATACTGTGCCCAGGAAAAAACTTTCACCATGTCCAGCTTTCCCCAAACCTCCTTCATGTGGTTTTAAAGGTGGTTTAAACAAGCAAGATGTCCCAGTCTCTCCACTCTGTATGTGCTGACTAAATTATTTGTAAAGTAGTTTTCCCCGAGCTGTAACCCATGCTGTTATTATAGTTGCAACAAAATTTTGTCTCTTGTATTGATTTTTAGTTGCTTTCTCAAGATCCCCATATGTTTATTTATATTGCTAATTTATGGGAAAATGTAATGATTACAGTAAATGTTAATTATACAGACAGGCAAATGTTTTGTAATCATAATTCACACACACACAAATCTGACTGAAACCCTAGACTGTTTAGTACCCTCTTTACCCACACTGTTTGTGATTTATCATCTGTCCCCTTCCTAAATTATGAACTAACTTGAAAAGTTGTTATATAGTACTTGACTGAAAGTGATTGTTAAATGAAAACACAGTTGGAAAAGGTGGCTTAATCTTGCTGTAAATATGTAAAACTGAATTAAAATCTGTGATTGTTTTCCCTCCAAATACCTTTGTGTACATGGAGCTTCATTTGACTATTTTCTTTGGAAATAAAGGATGTGATGTTTTCCTTCCTCTTTTGAATATGAGTATCTTGTTATTGCTTCATCATCCTGGGAAAGATTTGGGACTCTTCCACAGCCTCCAATGCTCTTCCCTGCCTTCCTCATGGCTTCACAGGAACATTTCTGAAGCCTAGTTGTTCAGGATAGAAAAACAAAGGGACCAACCAAAGGTGCCATCCTGGAAGAAACCTCCCTCACCCCCAATTTCACCCCAGTGAGATTGGCACTCATCAACCGATTTCCATTATGGAAGGAGAAAAAGTAAAATTTTCTCATTGTCTCCCTGGAAAGGCTGCCTTCCCAGTGGCTCCACAAGGCTCACCCTCTCACCAACTACCTCTGCCTTTCTAGAGAAAGTCTAGTAGTTTGGAGGGAATAAAAACAAGGAAAGAAAACCACAGGGCAGGGTGGCTTCAATCCCTGCCTAAGCCCTGATGGGGCACGGTTGGCTGCAAGTCCTAGCTGGTTTCCACTCCCTCCAGAAGTAGCCGATGTTCAGAAAACAGCGAAGGGCCAAGCCTTCAGACTGTGTGCTTACGCCGGCTCGCACGATTCTTTCCTGGGCCCCATTGGAATCTTCATTGGGGTTTAGCATGTAGGGGCCCTTCATTTGGCCCTGCCACTGGAGAAATAATTTCAGATTTTTCAGAACCACAGGAATCACTAGCGCCTTCCTCACCTACCCGGTGTTAGGGAGCCTCTGGGCCCTGCGTCCTCACATTCCCCCTCCCACTGGGCAGGCGTGGGGTCCAGCGCCGTTGCCCCGGCTCATCTCCCGCGGGCCTGGCTGGGGTCGGGGTCGCACTGAGTGAAAGGACGATGCTTTAGGGGCCAGAATACTAGGTCTCCTTATAGAACACTTTGGAGACCCAGCTCCTAGCCCAAGGGTGGCAGTGCTGAAGACAAGGTTGGGGGAGAGACCCCTGGACGCAAAGGCGAAAGGGTGACACGCGTGTGGGTGTGAAATGAGCGGCCACAAGGGGAAGGCCCCTGGAAACGCCGTGACACATCGGATCGGTGGGGATTATTAAGGAGGAGGCCACTGGACATCAGTGCTGGACATCAGCCTCTCGCGGAAGGAACCCCCTCCTCTGGCTCCTGGACAAGTTGGAGGGGGTCTCTCCCTTTGCACGTCTTCTCCCCCCACCTCTCTCCTCTTTGGGAGGGTGCGCTCCTTAAGGCCCTGTCACTGACAGAATCGGTGTGGTGGGGAGCAGGTGGAGACCCGGTGGGGACCCGGGCTGCCTAGAATCCGCAGGGCCCCGCCAGGGGAGATCCCAGTCCTTCCACCCGATTCTCTCCATCCCGCCCAGGACAGCGCGGGGCCGCCCATGCAGAGGGGAGTGGTGGCCACGTTCATTTCTGGGAGTGGATTGAAAAGAGTCTTCGGGGGCGGCTGCCCCAGGCATCCCGTGCTGGTCTCTCAGAGAGGGAAAGCCCTTCCTTTGAATCTTTTTAGTCAGAATTGGGGCGGGGGAATCGAGGGATTAGGAGGGGACGGAGGAAAGGGGAAGTGCTCTGGGACACCTCAGCGCCCTGCCACTAGGACAGCTCATACTTCTTGGCAGAGGGTTGAATTCACTACTTCTCAAGTGTCTGAGGCTAGCCTCACCCTACAGACAAACTCCCTTGTCCTCCGGGGAAGTTACATACCTCCCACCCAGGAATGGTAGGGCGGAGGGCAGTTTGGGGAAATCTTATATGGTTAATGATTTCTACTGGGTCTCTTATCTTCCCTAGGTGGAATAAGAGCACCAGGTAAAAACCGCGGGCATGGTGGGAAGACTTTGGCTAGAGGCCAGTCTCTCAGGGTTCTCCACCTATGGCTCTCTGCCCTCTGCCCTCTGCCCTCCCCCACAATAAGTGATGAAACATTCCCTTGGTTATTTTCTCATCTACTAAAGTAGAATTTTGCAATTTGTTTTTTATTGTTTTTAATTGATTTTAGAGGAAGAGAGAGGAAGAGAGAGACAGAAACATTAATGATGAGAGGGAATCATTGGCTGCCTCCTGCCTGTTGGCCCGGGCCGCAACCCAGGCATGTGCCCTTGAACAGAATGGAACCTGGGACCCTTCAGTCTGCAGACCAACACTCTATCCACTGAGCCAAACTGGTTAGGGCTTAAAATTTGTTTTGAGCACTAAGTTAATCCTTGAAATATTTAAAATCTACATGTTAAGTGCCTATTATTATTATTTACATTACTCCACCTTTCAGACACATTCCCTAGCATCTTACTGAATCAGATCTCCAGACCCTCCTAGAAAATGTGGCATTGGCAGGGGCCTTGAACCCGAAAGTAGGGTTTACTTCTCCTGGGAGTCCCATATTGGACATTTCAAGACCCAGGTGTGGAGGGTGGGAATATACTAATGGGGGTGGGTGGGTGACCAAGTACAGAGTGTTTGGGTTGGCGAAAGTCACACAAAAGCACATTTTTTCTAGGAAGGACTGAGGACCTGTTTCATAGTAATATTTTTCTGATACTGAATTCTCATTCTGAGAAAATTAATAACATCTTAGTTACCAACTGGTCAGAGTTCGAGGATCCCACAATAACATGATTCACTTGTCACCTACTTCCTGTCTGGGCATCAGGGTGGCCTTGCCTTTTTATCCAACTATTTTTAATGAGGAAAATGCCTGAGAGTTTTCTAGGAACTTTATCAATTTTGAACCACTAAACCATTCAGAAAAAAAAGAGAAACTCAATGGACAATTTAGGGGAGGTTTGGTGGTTTGTCTTTGAATCTTCCAGTGCCTTTGCAAACATCCAAACATCTGGATATGTATATATATATATATATATATATATATATATATATGGAAAAAATTACAACAGGATGTACATTAATCAATGTAAATGTGACCAGGGAGGAGGACTTGAAATCTGTTCTGCATTTTTGCCTTCCTTAGAGCCAGTGTAGACTCTGTGTGAGCCAACAGGGAGGACAAAAATACTGATTCATATAAAATAAGTAGAACAGGGACGTGCATGATTTTGTATCTCAGTGAACTAGCAACCTTGGAAAATGCATAGAAAAGAAAGCAAAATTGGGTCAAATTTCTGTGGCTTTGGTTGGACCATAAAGTTTTAGAATAATGGCAACAAAAAAAAAAATAAGTGGGGGGAAACAACAAGACTACTATCAGATGATTTATACAATATCAGAAGGATGATCCAGTTTCTTCTTGTCTGTCACTGAAGGCTGGCCCAAGCAAGATCAGATTAGCCAGATGAGGATAGTATTCTTTGCCAGAACTGGGGAGAAACTGCAGAAAGCTCAAGTTTCCTGGCTTGGGCAACTGCAAAGTCTAGAACAAGGTATAATGAGGCTTTTAGTTTTTGTACTCATCAATATATTCATTAAGTGTTTTAAAAAATACACCCAGCATCTTAGTGAAAAGTGTTTTGCCTGAAATATACATATTTCTAAATTATGAAAAATAAGCATCTGTCCCCCAAAGCTTTGCTTATTTATTTTCTCTGAGAGAAATGAGGAGAGTCACCTGCTGCATGATGCACATAAATAATTCTGAATCACACTATACCCACTTTCACCTGAGAAATTTTAAGTATTCCAAACTTGCCATAAAATTTTTC